TGTACCGGGCGCCCGTTTGGTGTCTCGGGAACCCTGTTCACATCGTTTGGGGCTGTGAGCGAAACTCCGGCCGGATCTCCTCATGGATGGAACCCGAATAGGCGATAAACCTGGACTAGAGACTTGAGTGTTTAGGCAGGCCGTGGCCGACACCCACGTTGGGCTTCCGCTTGAAGGTTGCCGAGTACATGTCGTGTAAACGGCGGTAAGTGGTGAGAGCGTGTGTGAAGAAGTACACCCCTGCAGGGTTAACCTAATCTATTCGAATAGCCGTGTCCGCGGAAAAGGACTTCTGGGTTGCTTATATCAGTTCATAGACAAGTGAAAGTGGATACTCTAAAATACGCAAGATAAGCGTGAGTGCTATGGATGGCGTTCTCGTAGGGAGACGGAAGCGGATCCATAGTGGTGTATTGATATGGTGAATATGTGGACTCGTGTGCGCCACCTCAAAAGAGTTACTCGCAGTCGTAGTTCAGGATAGCCACCGAGTCAAAGCTGGCTTGCTGCAGTTAAACCCCACCATCCCTTTGTTGATAATGATGCATGTGTAGATAGATCTGATGTAAGTCTTGCTGGGTACATTTGTACTCACGTTTGCCTATTTTATGTTTTTGCAGAGAGACTTCAGTCTCACTAGTATTTCCGCGTGGTCTTCGACGTTTAGCTTGTTACCTCAGCTACGATCTTGTGCCTCGGCAGGATTTGGTAGATAGTCAGGCTTCTCAGCCTTTTTCATTTATAGATGTCTGTACTCAGACATGATAGCTTCCGCTTGTGCTTGATTTGTATGCTCTGAATGTTGGGTCATGAGACCCAGGTTTGTAATATCTCGCTCCTCGGAGCCTATTGAATAGATTACTTGAGTCATAGAGTCATGTTGTGATGCCATGTTGTATTTGCACATATCGAGCATATTGTGTGTATGTTATTGAAATGCTTGGTATGTGTGGGATCTGACCATCTAGTTGTTTATCTTTAGTAGCCTCTCTTACGGGGAAATGTCTCCTAGTGTTTCCACTGAGCCATGGTAGCTTGCTACTGCTCCGGAACACTTAGGCTGGCCGGCATGTGTCCTTCTTCGTTCCTGTGTCTGTCCCTTCGGGGAAATGTCACGCGGTGAATACCGGAGTCCTGTTAGTCCGCTACAGCCCGGTTCACCGGAGTCCTGCTAGCCCAGTGCTACAGCCTGGATTCACTCGCTGATGACCGACACGTTTGATGCTGGGTCATGGATGCCTGTCCCTGTAAGTCTGTGCCGCTTTGGGTTTACGACTAGCCATGTCAGCCCGGGCTCCTTATCATATGGATGCTAGCGACACTGTCATATACGTGTGCCAAAAGGCGCAAACGGTCCCGGGCAAAGGTAAGGCGACACCCGTGGGAATACCGTGCGTGAGGCCGCAAAGTGATATGAGGTGTTACATGCTAGATCGATGTGGCATTGAGTCGGGGTCCTGACAGAAGGATATTTATCTCCCAAAACATGCATCATTACATGTTTCTAAAATTGTCCAAATTCACACTGAAATACCAACAAAAACCTTATTTCTAGCTCTAGCAACAAAAGTGTCGACAGATCAAGTTTGATAAGATGCGCTCTCGTTTCTTTTGCACAGAAATACCACATGGTTCGATGAACGACTATCTGCTCCCCCAATCAGCTATCGGCAAGGACAATGTGTACCATGCATCCCGCTTTACTACGCTATTGCACGTATCTTTCAACTGTTGATTTGCTATGATATTCATGTCTTCTAAGTCCTTGTGAGAGCCTTCACCGTGTCTTTGGTCTTGCCATCTATGTTTAATAAAGTCCCAAATGAGCTCGTACAAATGTTCTTTTCAATGTGCATGACATCAAGATTGTGTGGCAATTTCAGTTCCTTCCAGTATGGTAGCCCAACACAAGATGCTCATCTTGGGGGAAAAATTCCCTGGCATGGCCTTTGAAGTTTGAAGATGTCCTTCTTTTCTTATTTCCAGGATGTTTTCCATGCTTGAAGCCCTAGAGATTATCTGGTGGTTGTTTTCGCGATAACACTTTCTCATTCTTGCCATTGAAGGCCTTACTTCTGTGCCACCTATGACGAATAGGCAAGTACCTCATGTGAGCTAAGAAACCAATTCTACTTCGAAGTGCTTGTGAATAGGTTCCAACCCTAGATCTCTCAACATCTTCTTCGCTTTGTAATAGTAAGTGGCTAGAAGTGAGTCACCGGTTGGCAAAACCTTATTATGAAGCTTGAGTAACATGTCAAATGATTTTTTTGCCCCAATGATTAAGATCTTCGAGGTGTGCCAACTTAAAAAAAAGGATAGTACCGAGTGAGCCCTGAAGCAAAGGTACAACTTACGTCTTACACTTTTTCGCAAGCGATCAAATCTGGTTGATGCCTCATTGGACTTCAAAATGCTACCTCCAACAACATTTTGGTTTTCTTGCTCATCACCCCAATTGTGGCAATGTGGATGTCTCCTAGCGGATCTTGGACCATATCAAATCCATAAAAATCATCAAGATCTTTCTCGTCTCCAAGAGGCTCATAAACTTGGTCTTCATCATTGCTAACTTGTTCTCCATGGAACACCCATTTTGTGTATGAAGTTTGCATACCATACAACAACAAATGGGTTGGAACTTGACTAACACTCTTCTTACGTATATCCATACAATTATGACAAGGGCAAAGCATCGTACCATTGCTAATTTATGTTGAGAAGAAAAATCAATAAATGCATTCGCCCATGCGCTTGAAAACCTATCAGGCAACCTCATCCAACTCCTATCCATAATTTATCTGCACAAGTACTCTACAAGTGAACTAAAATGGAACTACAAGTACAAAATAGGAGTTACCGGACGAGAGGAAGGGCCTTGTGGGATCCAAGGATTACACCATGTTTTTTTATCGAGGTACCATCTCCCATCCTCCATGTAATACCCTTTTCAACAATTTCAAGACTTCTTGGGAACTACAGCTAGATCTAAATAATTTGTGAAGAAGAGGAGATGGGAAATTGATGGAGGAGCCAAGATAGATTTCCTCAATGAAGGGTTTTATTCCCTTCCACGGATGGCGCGCGTCATGAAGGCAGCGAGTCGGAAACGACCGACATGAGTTACATGAATTTTGGACCAATGCAGGACCATTGCTTCATGATTCTGACCATGAGGGCCCACTACTAAATCTCACACTGACCATCGCGGTCCACCACACGAGGAAACGCCAAATCGCTCCTAGCTCTCTATTTTCCGGGAGCTTAGAGTTTGTAGGGATACATACGTGTATCGTTCCACCGCAGATCATATGGTTTGCTTTGATTTGCAGTGAAGCAGGGTTGGAAAAAGCGGTAGGCGTAAGCGACGCGGTTGGCCTTCGCCTAGTGCCTAGGCGGTGCCTAAGCGCCCTAGGCGCGGCCTAGGCGGTAATATAGTTTTTACTCATAGTGTATTTGTGATTATTATATGGGTGTTGATATTAGTTTAGGGCATATAAATAAGTTAACTACCGTCTACTGCCATTGGAATATAACTCGTTTGGCATATTAGTGTAGTATGTGGCATGATTTCTTGCTTGGGTAGGCAATTCCTTGCTTGTCCTGCCTAGACCTCCATTTATGCCCTAGGTGAGGCGTTTGGCTATTGCCTAGCGTCTAGGCGTGCCTAAGCGCCTCCTAGGCACTGCCTTTTCCAACAGAGCAGTGAAGGCAGCGAAGCGTTTTCCTCTTGGTGTGTGGCGACTGGAAGCCTAGTCGCTGCTAGGAGAGACCAGCCTTCGGGCGCCGTCCTCCGATGGCTCCCCTCCATCGACGACATCTCGGTTGTCAATGGTGAGGGGGAGTCGTTGGATCCCGCGCATGCGGATTGGGCTCTATGTTTTAGGGCCTTAGTAGCTTTGGTTTTGGGTAGTTCAACATCTTGGCTTTGGCGGCAGCGCTGAACAAAGAAGCTCCAATTCATCCCTTGACGAGGCGATCAACTCTATGGTCGGTGATGGATTTGGGAACTAGCATGTTCAAGTGGGGAAGCGTGGCGATGGCGACATCCTTGTCATGGACTTGTGTCCTCGAGCTCCGCCGTTGTGACGACGTCTGCTCCAGCGCCGACGTGAAGCTTGGGAGGTAGTCCAGGTGCGGATGCATATAGTAGTCAACATCAATGACATCCGGAGGACAGATCGTGTGTTGGGTTTGTGGTTGGTGGCTGGCAGGTATCGTTTCCTCCTCCAGCATCTTAGTCATGCGGGGGTGTTAGATCTGGAGTTTGATGACGTGTTGAAAGTGCTGCCCCTATCTGATTCGTTCAACAACAATGGTTTCGTCTTTGGTGAGTCACCATGGAGGCTCGCAAGCCTGCATATCAGCCATGAAGCCGTGTCAAACTTGGGAAAAGGAGGTGATCCATCATTTTTCCCTTAGTGGGCATTGTGGTGGTGCCGAGGCAGGTGACGAGCATTGGTGTCAAACTTGGGAGATTCTTCGGCCTTGATTTTATTTTATTTCCCTTTTTGACTGATGTTTTTTTTTTGTGTAAAGACTAGCGGTCTGTTGTCTTTTGAGTTTTTTCATGTCGGTGTCTACATGATTTGTACTATGATATTTATTTTCATATATATTTTTGAGACACCTATTACCATGCAAAGAAAAAAAAGGTACGATTTGGTTTGGTCTTTTTAGGGAGTTTGGTTTGATTTTGTAGTGAACGCTGCTGCCGCACCGGCCCATAGGCACAATAGGAGGACAAGGCCCATTAGATCGATCGGACGGTCGAGATCCCCTCACCCTCGCCTATAAACGCTACCTCAACCCTAACCTATTCCAGTTTCTCCATCCCCTCGCAGCCGCCGCCTCCTCGGATCGTCCCTGCCGGAGAGACGCCAGAGAGCGCCAGCAAACCCTAACCTCCGACGATGGTGCGCCGCCCGACCCATCTCCATGCCTTCCCTCGCTTGGTTCTTCTTTGGATTTACTCACGGTTCCTGATTCTTGTGTGGTGGCGGTGGCGCAGGTGCTCCAGAACGACATCGACCTGCTCAACCCGCCGGCGGAGCTCGAGAAGCTCAAGCACAAGAAGAAGCGCCTCGTGCAGTCCCCCAACTCCTTCTTCATGGTAAATGAATCCCCCTTCCCCGTAAAATCTCCTCCTTTACGGTACCATTCTCAGCGGTGTTTGTTTAGATTGTTCCGTAATTAGATGACGGCGGTATCAGATCCCATCCTATCCAAACGCGATTCCGCTAGACGTGCGACGTAATTATTCATCCGATTTGAAATTTTGCTTCGGTAGGCTGTTGGTGTAGCTGAGTAATGGTGTCTGTTACCACAGGTTTGTGGTAGATTACGCAGCTGGTCGTGATTATCTTTGATGCATTCGTTGTTAGTCCTATGTACCCTTGCATGTATGTCAACCTGTATTGCACATGTTCTAGGTATCCAAAAATCTCTATGCTAGTACCAATGTGTGAGTGAACGCTATAGTGCTGTTCTGGTCTGAGTTGTTTCTGTGGATCCATCGAATCATATCTCCTACTGGACACTCCCGTGTAACATAGTGCCGCCATGTTCCTTTTATCGTGTATAAGCTGCTGATTATCTTGCCTATATCACAACACTAATGGTTAAAATGTGGCTGCAATAGGTTGTGTGCATTTGTCATGCTTAAGTTTGGCATTGTTGTTCTTTTGTTTGGATTATTGTGGTTCTAATGGCTATGTGTTAACTTCTGCAGGACGTCAAGTGCCAGGGCTGCTTCAACATGTAATTTTTCTAAACCTTTTCTCTTCATTGCAAGTAAATAGTTTCACTAGGTTCATTTGCTACTGATTAGCCTTGGATGTTCGTTTGATTACAAGACATTGTCATGCTTTAAAACGTTCTTGCTATTTTTGTAGTTTAACTGTTAACGTTAGTTGGCTGCCAAGTACATGCTCATAGTTTATTTCACTGCTTTGTGTTTTCTACTTCAGTACTGCTTTCTTTGACTGCACATGCTTTATAGGTTAATATTAAAAGCATGGCAGATGCATTTTTTAACATAATTTTGCGTGTTCTGCATTGGGCTTCATGATGATACTGCAGTACACCCTAGTTGTATGTACCAGCCTTGTAACACGCCAGTTCAAACACAATCCTTGTAAATCACTGCGTTCCTAATACTGTAATTGTTCCTCAATTATCTTGTATCATCAGCCTCCAATGCCATTTTAAGTTTCTTTTCAAGTACTTTACTATGCAATACATTAATACACAACATATCAATCATTTCTCATCTCATTTGGATCAGTGAGTCTACTTGCCGTGATTTACTTTTTTCCTTTTATGTTTGTTGATCATAATTTACTTTAACATGCCTTCCTTTTATTTTATGATTGATTGCTGAATCACTCTCTTCTGTGATTGCAGCACTACTGTGTTCAGCCACTCCCAGACTGTGGTGGTGTGCCCTGGCTGCCAAACAGTGCTCTGCCAGCCAACGGGCGGCAAGGCCAGGCTAACCGAAGGTTGCTCCTTCCGCCGCAAGGGCGACTAAACATCCAAAGGCTATCTAAAAAAGCCAGCCGTTGTTGAACTTTGAGTTATTCCAGGGTGTTAGTCTGAAGATTTTGCAATGTGGGCAAATTGAACCCATCTTTGGTAATGTGCTATCTAGCTTGAGTATTATTATGATGACCACTGTACTATGTTATGTTTGGGTTGTGAGATCAGACTAGTAGTACCTGCCTGGCAATATGGTTGTCTTTGATGAATTGTTATTCCTTCTGATGTTGCTTGCCGTCTCTGGTATATGACTCTTGAATCGTTTATTGCTTGCATTTGCAGATTTGCTGTTGCTGTCTGTTAAACATTGTTTGTTGCCCACTTCTCTCCCCTCTCTACAATGGTAGTGCACCTGATGCCTCCCGTGGCTGCCTTGCTGCTGCTTGCCGTCTTCTTGTTGACGAATGATCGATCGTAGGGTCATCTGTGGTCATAGATACCGTATGCCAAAAAGATTGAACAAACTGGATGGATTTCATGCAAACCGGACCTAATTTGCAGAAGTTTGCCATCCAACTGTATGCCCAAAACTTCAGCTTTTATTTTGAATGAGAATCGAACAAACCAGATGAATTGCACGCAAAGCGAATGAATTACTAATTCATGTGACATTACATTAAAGGACAGTGCTAACTTCCAGTCATCAAAGAATGTTTTAATCTTCCAGTCCCGGTTTAAAGTTAACACCATTTTTGCATGTAAAGTTATCAGATGTGCAATACGAAAGTTATCATGCTATTCACAACAATAGTCATCAAAGAATGTTTTAACAACTATTTAGGGTCAAAGTTACCAGATGTGAATACTTAGGTTTGATTCTCACTGACTGCAGTAATTTTTGTTCATTTAAAAAATCTGTGAAAAATATGCAAGAACATATGAGATTCAGGCCTTAATTTTTCTCGAAAAATCACTCGAGGTCAGCGGCACCTCGATCCATATGGAATGGAAGCAGAATCCGCCTTTACAAATGTACATAATCAACTTAACTACTAATCAAACACAACAACTACAGAGACCAGATGGTTACTGCATTGCGTTGTCACTCGTGAGGTTGAGGCATCGAATCCATCTTCAGTTATTTCGTTCGGATCTAACCCTATGTGACGAACATTCGGAAGTAATTCGTCTCAACTAGTATCGATACTACCCTAAAAAAACTAAACTAGTATCAATACTAAGCAATATTTGTCAAAAAATCTTCAGTTATTTCGTTCGGATCTAGCCCTATGTGACGAACATTCGGAAGTAATTCGTCTCAACTAGTATCGATACTACCCTGAAAAAACTAAACTAGTATCAATACTAAGCAATATTTGTCAAAAAAAACTCATAGTAATGCATTCACTGTGTGCATCTACACACATCGTCAGCGAGATGGAAGGAAGTGC